ACACACACACACACACACACACACACACACACACACACACACACACAGGGTAATCAGGCCCTCTTTGATCATCCTGGTTTGACTCAGTGGTTGCCATGCCAACAAGCGAGAATAAAGCTCTGAGCTGCAGCACTCTGGCTTTCATGACTGATGCAACATTTACCATACCCCCCCCACCACCACCACCACCACCACCTTCACCCACACACCCACTCACTCAGAGAGCAGTTTCTTTAGTTTTTCTCCAACAGTTTGGAGGCTTCAGTATTTAGGTCACCTCTTTGTGTAAGGAGAGAAGGAGGAGGGAAGGAGCATCCCAATGTAATGGTTGTTCATTGGTCAGGACACACACACTTGCAAGCACACACACGTGCAAAGACACACTCGCAAACACACAGAATACAGATCCATAACCAGTGCTGCTCGCCATCCCTCTGTGATTCTTCTTGGTCTCTTTGTCTCTGCTGTTTATTTGCCAAAGGACACTTGAGGGATACTGGGAGGCCGAGTGTCTTGTCCCCCCTCTTTCTTCCTCCCTCTTGTCTCTCTCTATCTCCAATCCCTTCACTTCTTCCTCCCTCCTATCTAGCATGACCTACATTTCCTCCTCATGCATTGCTCCCTTGATTTCTCCCCGTCTTTTCTTCTTTCCCACCTCTGCACACAGTAAAAGCCACATTCACACACACACACACACACACACATGCGCACACACACACACACACGCACACGCACACGCCCATACACACACACACACACACACAGTCCTGCAGCAGGATGGGGCTGGGGTGGAGCCACTAAGTCCATTTAGAGCTGTTAAGGGTGGAGTGCTAAAATAGAATGCCAAGCCCTGAGTGAACCCGGTTTCAAAACACTGCCTGTGTATGCGTGCGTGTGTGTGCATGTATGTCTGTGTGTGTGTGTAAGAAAGAGAGTAGGGAAGGTTAGGGACATAGTGCCTCCTATGGACAAACAGTAGCCCCTCCGTGATAGCATGTATGACTCCACACTGCCACCTGCTGAGCCTCGTTCAAGACTACAACCACAATCCGTTTTCACATCACAATCAGATCACCTCTCTGCTTCTACCTAGTGGTGACAGCCCAGGATCTGTTGATTTCACACATTTCCTAATAAAGCATGTTTGGATAACTTTTTTTTTCTCTGCACAAACTGAAATCAAATGCAGCTGTTAACTATGGTGCCAATAATTGATGTCATCTGTGTTTATGTGTGCCTATGCAATAAGAAACACACAAACAAATCATTCCCTCTTCATGATTATGGTAGTCTAACAACAACTAGAGAGGTTGAAACTGCTGCATGAATAATTCCCTAACCCTGCTTATAATCACACAGTGACTTTGGCCTGTCAGCCTAACAAGTGTATTTGCATCTTTACTAAAAAAAAAGAGCACTCTCCTTTACAATCATATCTTGCTGTTAATTAATGCACATCTAACACTGCTAGTAACGAGACTCGAGGAATGTTGGCCTTTTGGTTGGTCCGCCACTTTGGTCCAGACTGAAATATCTCAAGTATTAGTAGTATTGGATGTGTGAACGGGTAACCTAAAAACACCAGGTCCAAGCAAGTCAAGGAGAGCCCCAACACACTATGACAAGGCAACAAAACCCTGGACACAATATTTTTGTGGGTAAATCAAACTTTCAAAAGTGGATTTTGAAAATTGAGGTGGAGATGTCTCACTTATCCCCAGTAGAAACTATACCCTGACCCTATAAGTTGACATTATGTCTAGCTCACATTAATTAATTAATGAGAATAACTGAACATTATTATTGCACACTATGCAGTATAAAAAGCCCTTTTGTTATAACAACTTTTATATATAAATATAAAGACTATATAAAGACTTTTTCAATGAACACTGTCAACAACTGCCTACACCAAGTCAAAGTTCAAACTTCGCCACAGTTTGAACTGGATGGAAACATCTGATCGCAGCTGACCTCTCCCACCATCAGGAAAAGCAACAAAGCCTCCCCTTCCTTCCATTCTCTCTTTGTTTGCTTTTTGGATTGCACTTCATCCTGTGGTCTGTGTGTCTGTAGAAGATAGTGTGTGGCACTCTCTCTCTCTCACTCTGAGTCACAGACAATCAGAAACGAACAGAGCAGAGCATGCTACACCAGAGGAGCTTCAGAAAGGCCAGCGCCCATTGCACTACAGGGTGAGCCCACTGCTCTCGTCACCTGTTTTTCTTTCACACTTAAAGAGCAACCTGCAGTTCAATTTCTTTTTTTCTCTCTTTTCTTTCCTGAAAACGATTTCAAGACGTAAGGGCAGAAATTTGGTTGCAAAAGAAGCCGTTTTGAGCAACGCATCCATTCGACATTTCTGAACCTGCAAGTTGCCCTTTAAGAACTGTAACATTCTTTTTGGCCTTTTTGTACATAGCGTGAATGGAAAAGGGAGTAAAGCCGAGTCATTCATTTAATCCCTCCAAAAACTGAAATGTAAAAACAATTAACGTGATAATTATTGAGCTTTAGAGGTGCTGGTAGGTTTTCTTTTTCACCTTTGACAGAGCCGGGAGCTGTTTCTTCCTGCTTCCAGTTGTTGTGCTAAGCTAACTGCCTCCTAGCTCCTGCTTCGTTTTCAACAGACAGATATGTGAGTTGTATCAATCATCTTATCGAAGTCTCAACATGAAAACAAATTAGCATATTTCCCATCATGTCAAACTATTAATTTAAACGTCTTTTGTCTGGAACAGATCACATTTGAGGTTTCTGACAACACTGTGTCCTCAGATGTTGTAATTCAATGCTCAGCTGTGTTTCAGCCTGATGGCGGCAGCGGTGTCCTGTAGGAGCCAGCTAGCTGCCACTAGAGCGAGACTGTATAGCTTAACCAAGGTTTAAGGACAACAAGTGGAGTACATGGAGATTAGGGGATTAAATGCTATTTCTCCCTCAAATCAATTAAAAGGCCATATGTCACCAATGTGAACTTAACAATAAGGACAATGTTGGAAGGTGTAAGTTTTTCTGCCCTGAGGTGAAGCGGGAGAGTGAGAGAGATGTCAGTGAACTACGATCTCTGCACACCTGAGGAGAGAACTAATCAGCACAAGTGAAAACACCTGTGTGGGTAGACAAGAGAGCAACCGTTACAAAATATAACATAAATGCTTCATGTCATTGACAGATTGAAACCACTGCATTCATGGTTATTGAATGTTCCATGTAACTGAAGCTGGGTTTACCTGAAGCCTTTTTTAAGTGAGTGAGATACTGTAGCAGTGTCATATCATATTTTCATCCTTTGAAGATGGCTTTGTTGTGCTTTTCTGCTCTTTTGTCTTTTCGTTTGAGATTGTGTATTCTGATGTATTCTAATGTAAATTAAGTTCACAGAAAGCTAAAAGTGGAATCATATAGGATGTTGCCGTAGTGGTCGACATTTATTTTTCTTAAATGTGATCTTTTCTGACAATGTTTTCTCAAATCAAAGCTGCACTGATTCATATTTATATGGGGCCACTTGACATAAACACAGAAAAATGATCACTCAACCCTGCGGTTCCCTTCAGCTTTTCAAAGCAGTTTAGCGTATTTTAGCTCATTGTTTTTACAACTTGCATCTTAACGATTTTACTTTCATGGCTCTCATCAATTTTGTTTCCAGCAGCAGGCAGCTGTTTTCAGTATGAATGCTCACTGTACACTTCATGCCAAACACCAAACAGCAGACACCGTTAACGACATGCTGGTGAACATAGTTGGAGCATTTAGCATATAAGCTCCCTCAGGAGAGGGTTGAGACCAAAAATAGAGCTAAAATGACATTCAACATGGCCCCAAGACATGTATTCCCTCCAACAATTGCCACTCATTTTCATCTAGCCAGGCTTAATTATTAGTGCTTCAATGAGAAAAATTCTATAATGCAGCTTTCAAGTACTTTATCATGTGTTTTCTTTGTTATTTTGTCCATCCCCTAAATTGTTGATTTTTACTCCAAAGTCTCATCTCTTCCCTTTCACTCTCCCATTTTCCCTCCCACACCAAACCCTGTCTCCCCCCTAAATCCCACAGACTATCATCATCACACACTCATTATTAGAGTGAGCAGTGAGGGGCAGTGTCGTTAATGTCCCTCAGTCTGCAGTATGGGAGGCATGCTGAGGGCTGCTCTGTCCCTGGTAGACAGTAGATCGCATGCTGGCTCAGTTTAGAGGACGTTAGGATTAAGCCACAAAATGAAAACACCTGCAGCCAGGAAACTTTTTCACTTCAGCAGCATTTGAAGGTAAGCTTTGACAGTTTGGACAAAATGAAGAAAGGCGGGAAAATCTTTCAGAGGAGCAAAGTCCTCCAGTGGCATTTTGGTGTTCAAGAAGGTGTTTGATTACCTTGCCTAAAGGTTTGGGCGGTTCAGGATTAGTTAACATGAGTAGATAAGACAAGTTCCGTAAATTTTGTTTTGTAATGGCTGCCTTTGTCGATGAAAACAAAATCAATGCGATGTGTCATATGCTTCTTGTAATTTCTGACATCTGACCTTTGCCTCCATTATGGTGGTTTAAATGCTTGTTGCCACAATGTTCCTGCACAGACCAAACTCTCAGCCAAGTCGAGCTATGAGATATAGATCATGACTATAGCAGTGACGATTTGCTTTGTAAAGATATAGAGTCGAGTCTACCTGAGCAGAGAGTGAAGTCACTCTCCCTCTGTGTGTGTGTGTGTTCTGTAATTCGAGCTTCCGTTTGCTGTGGTAGCCAGGCACACGTGCATGTGAGTGCATGTGAGTCCCTCCCTTTGAAAGTGTTGCCCTCCCCACGTTTCAAGAGACTAATAATGTGCAGAGAGTGATGGCAGAAAGCTGTTCAAAGCGTTCAGCCGAGGGCCACCTTCCAGATTTTCCACCACGTTTATCTCAGGGCCCGCTTCATCCATGTGTCACAGTAACTTTTGGAGACAAACATAGGATTTGTTTTTATTTGTGTATTAAAAGATAATTTAGAAAGTCAAGAAAGTCGCAATTTTTCATAGATTTGTTGTGGTGTCATTTAGTTTAGTGTGAAACAGCTCAGTGAACCACATCTCTTGTCTCGCACCATCTAAGTCATCAACACGCCCGTTACCTTGGCTTGAGATAGCTATGTCCATGCACAAATATAGCATTATCCTACGTGACGTGTTTTTATAAAACAACTCTTTTTTGTATAATTATCAGACATCAGCTCTACGGAGCGTTTACCATCTTTCGGTTCATTGTTTTAGTTTTATGGCCCGTAACTCTACTGTATTGGTTTACTCTCACAATTCTTACTAGCATCGTTTTTGGTCGCAGCTGTTTTCAGCAAAAAGCTCTAAAAATCCACTCCACTCTTTTCATCGCTATTTCCACTGTGTCTGGCTTTCAATAGCCGCAATATGTGTGTGTGTGCATGTGTATGTGCCTGTGTGTGCGTTAAGGTGCACCGTAGCTACCCATTGGATGGAAAGCAGAATGGAGAAAGCAACTTAAAGGTAATCTTTTTTTAACAGAATTATGATGTAATATCGCAAATTACAGGGAAAATTGCATTTTATATCTACAATACTGACGAACAATGTGAACTGCAAAGATCTATTTCGAACATTCTACTTTTCAGTTTGATATTTTAAGAAGTAAACGAAAACAGAAGGAAAATAAATAAAAGATAAACACCTTTCTTTAAGATTTGTCAATCCCAAAATAGCTGTTACAGTCTCAAAATAGTTTCTCCAAATTTGAATTCAGTTAGCGCCCAAGCTACTGTAAACTGTAGCTGATAATTTAATTGCATGTACTAAAATGACTTCCCAGCAGTCTGGATCATTCCATTAACGGTACCTCACTGTGGGGAGCCATGAAGTCTGGTCTGAACGATTAACAGCAGCTGTCTCTACCTCTCTGCCATTAGCACTCATTCTAACACTCATATCAAAACATGTATCAGACAAGCCAACGCTAATCCCATCTACAGTATATCCTACTGTCTTTTCAACTCTCTGCCTGTGCTCCCCTGTTTCAGTCTCATTCCTTTTTACAAACAAAGTTTGGTAATTTATCATTGCGCTTTTGCTTTACAAAAAGATACCTGTGCTGGTAAAACAATTGTATGCAATAGCATCAGTTCTATCAGAACTGGAGAGTGTTTCTTTATCGACAGAAGAGCAAAGAACGGCACTGAAGGCTTTTCTCAATGGAAAGGATGTTTTTGCTCTTCTCACGACTGGTTCAGCAAGATTGACAGATGGTTCATCTAATCAGCTGCCATGTATATTTCTGAAAGCGCTGATCTTTTCAAAAGAGTTTCCAATGATGGCTTCTCGGATGGTTGTGTGTAACAAAATACTAAGGCCAAATGTAAAAAATAAGTTGTGCCTTTTTTTTGTCGCCTCTTTACTCTACTTTTCTTCCCGCTTCAAAAACATAGTCTCTCTCTCTCAGGTCTAAAAATCAAGCTGTTCCACTGAGCTCTCCCCTTAGAGGCCTGGACAACTCTCATTGTCGTAATGGTAAAATGGACTTGCACTTGCATAGAGACTTTCTAGTCTTCCAGCCACTCAAAGCGATTTTACATTATGTTATTCACACCCATTAATACACTGATGGCAGGGGCGACCATGCAAGGTGCCACCTGTCCATCAGGACTATCTAAGCATCCACAACCATTCACACCGATGGCACAGCCTTGGGGAGCAATATGGGGTTAAGTGTCTTGCCGAAGGACACAACAACACGGACTGGAGGAGCCGGGGATCGAACCGCCGATCTTCTGATTGAGCCACAGTCGCCTGTCGTGTTGATATGCAGCGTTTCTCTGTTGCATTTTTTATCAGGATTTTGTTTTGGATTTTTCATAGTTTCTGTATTTGCAGCGTGTTTGCTGTCGACGTCTTTGTTTTGGTTTTCTCCAGCACGCTTTTTCCTTTGCAGCGTGTTTCTATTTGTTTTGGAATTTCATACACGTTTTTGATTCGGCATTGTTTCTAAAGCTGCAGCACATTTCTCCGAATGAAAAAGTTTTGGGCTGTTATCTTCCAGCGTTATATATATATATATTGCAAGTTAATATGACAGCTAAAGCCAACTGGCTGTTTGTGGCAAACAAACCTACTCAGCAAAAAACTGCTGAACCATAAGGTTAGTCTGACAACAGCAGTGGAAACCCAACGCTGAAATCAATGACCGCAGCAATATCCAGCCTGTTTTATCCTACACATTTATCTCCAGGATTGATCTCACATTGAGTTTATTTTACTGCAGCTGCATTTCGTAAGCTGTATTAGAGCTCTTTGATTCTAAACAACAGCTGTGTCAGACTCTCCCTATCTGTTCTGCAATCAGGCAGGTGGCTAAAGACAACTGAACGCTGAAATGCATGCCATCCAGATAACCTTCCAGAAACAGAACCATGACATCACAGCTGTGTGTATGTGTGTATGTGTGTGAGTGTGTGTGTGTCTAACCCTGTCAGAGAGAGCTGCAGCACCTGTGCCGTCACCGTGCCGCCTGACGATCTCGCCTTCCAGAAAAGCCGTGGGGTTCATGTATCAAAGAGTTGGGGACAGTATGTGCGTTTGTGTATGTGGCATAAGATGTATGACCACATCAGAGAACATTCCTCTTGTGGTTTTAACAGCTCAAGACACACTGCCCATGACCTTTTTAACAATTGTAAGAAAAGTGAATGAATAGCTCTTTGCATGCGTGTCCAACATGACTGCACTCCTGTCAAAGTGAAATGATCCCTTTTCTTCCGCTTCCTTTTTACATTCTTGCACAACCATCACCTATTTATACCTCTGTTTGAATCCAGTATGACGTAGCATTGGAACAATAATGTGCTACTAGACATTGCAAACATCACTGCCATATATATGCATAGAGACAAAGCTATTGTTTCAGATACCTAACATCCATTGGAGGGTCAAAGGCAGTGTGTCTCAAACTGCTGTGGTGCCAGACATTTAAATATGGAAAACACTATCTTTGGCCACAAGCATACATAAGAGGACGCGTGGGCAACTGTTAGCAAGCAGCTGTCTACATGAATGTCCTGATGACACGCAGCAACATTATCAACCCAATACGAAAACAAAAGTTGCATTTCTGCCAATTGATGAATAGAACTCCAGCTTTACATTTCGTTTGGTCTCCACTACCCTACTATCACGAATTACATCCATATTGGACGATTCTGCATGTCGCTTTACATGCCTTCATGTTACCAAGAGGAAAGGTGTGGCGGTCCAGATGGGGCATGGACATGACAGGACTTTGGTAGGGATGACCCCACAATCAATTATTGTTTTCTTATTTAAAACCCTAACCACAATCTTTCTCAAACATTTAGTTGCCTCAACTAAACCATACTTTACTTGCTATAACCCCAATCTTTACCAAACCTTAAAGGAATAGTTTGAACTTTTGAGAGATATGCTTCTTCACTTTTTAAAGAACGAGTTAGAAGAGAAAATTATTATCATTATCACTGTCCTAATATGAAGACAGAGTAAGCAATTGATTAGCTTAGCATAACGACTTGAAGCAGGATGAAACAGATATACTGGCTATGGTCCCAGGGTCAAAAAACAACTACAACAACAAAAAACACACAAGCCACATCCACACAGTCAAGCCACCCCCTACATCCACACTGACAGATGCTGATGACGCTGACCTAAACTCTGTGACATTGCTGTTATAGAGACCTGGCACTTCAGACAGAAGAGTCAAAAACAAAACCATGAGGCTTCTTTCACCTCAGCCACAAAGGCTTGTGGGTTATTATTTGTAGAACGGCTCCAGGAGATGGATCATTATTGACCGGTTCCTGTTTTCTTCTCAGTTCTCATCAGCTTGCTTCCTGCTAAATGCTGTAGGACCCATTAGCATATTTTGTCATGAGTTACTTCGGTTCGGAACATTTTGTGAAACACTTTTTTTTCTTTTTAAGTGCTGAAGTTAGCTTTGTATCTTTTTTTTTCTTGTCCTCTGAACTACGACGTAAAGCTTCAGTTTGTGACATTGGAAGTAAAAAGAAAGTCATTAAGGTGAAGACTACTGAGCTGGCAGAACTAAGTGCATTAAATGAAAGCTATGCTTTGGAGTAGAGGTAAAGATGAGGCCATGGGGGGAGGTGTTGTAAAGAGGGAGGTGCCATGTTAGGGGACAACGGCTACAACAGTTTGACCATTGACTTTTGTCCGAACATCACCATCAGAAATCAGGTGAGCTCCAATTCATCATCATCACCCTCTCATTTTACATATATACCAATAGGACTAGAAATGTAAGCTAAAGTAAGTGGATTTGTTAAATAGGATGTTGTGGATGTCGTGTTGTTGTGTTGAGTCAGCTCACATTAATCTATTGAGTTTTTGTGATTTGGTTTGAATCTACTTGCTGTCTTGCTTTACTGCAGTTTTGTTCACACAAAAAACTGAGCATTTCTTCCTCTCTGCAGAACAGTACATACAACATACATACATGTTTGTTAGTGTTCAGTTCAGTATAATCGAATTGTGTTGTTACTCATTATTCCATACTGCTCTAAGGTCAGAGGCGCCAAAATATATACCAACATCCGAGCAGGGCTGAGCAATTTATGGAAAATATTAGGTTGTGATTTTTCTGACCAGCGCAATTGCAATTTAAATTTTGATAATTTTCTGCAAGACCCGTGTTGTCATCTACATAATATGAAACAAGATATGATTATACCAAGCATAATTACACTAGTATCTTATTTCTGAGAAAAATGGGTTGTAGACTCAGAAGACTAAAAAAATGCACTACTTTGATATAAAAGCAATTCATTTTGATAGCTTTTAGTGGCCTGAAAAGGTATTCCGAATAGTACAAAAATTAAAGAAAATATTCAAATAATTTGTTTTGGGGGGGGGGGCTTCAACCCCCAGCTTGGTTTATGAGAGAGTTTGGATTTCAATCTTAGATTTTGATCCTTCACCAGCTGCGTTGACATTTCCCACCACTGACCATCTTATCACCCGTGTAGATTTCAATAAACTCAGGCTGTCACTAAGCTGCTGCTAAGAGCTCCGTCTGAAACACTGTTTGCACCAACCAACCAGACGGCATACACACACAGGATAAGCAAATATTGACTCAGGCACCCGTCAGGTGGTCCGCCATTCATGGCCCTATTACTGTTTTTATAGACCAAGCATGTCTGTGTGTGTGTGTGTAGGTGTAGGTGTGTGTGCGTGTCTCTGTGTGTGTGTGTGTGTGTGTGTAGTGGAGCATGCCTCAGTCAATATTTAGTCCTGTCATGTCGACCGCTCCAGGTACCAACAGCTTCCTGTTTTGATCTTCTGTTTGTTCTCCTTCATGTTGAACTCTCCACCTGAGTGATTTACAGACTGTCTGTAAGAAATCCTATTTATTACATTTTGTCTAAATACGTTTGATGGCGGTGTTTTGCTCCTCAGCGAGCTGCTAATTTATTGAAAAGTCTGTTTGTCAAAAGAGGATCACCATGTTGTGAAGCAGTGGCTTCACGACATGCATCCAATTTTTTTGAACATCAATAGTTTTTTCTTCAACGGTGATCAATAAATAATGTGACAGATTTTGTAGTTGGCTTTGGAGTGTTTGATGATGGCACACATGTGCTCTAGACTGGCACAAAATAACTAAACAACAATAAGAAGAAGAAGAATAAATAAGCTTATACGGTTGGCTCAATGTAAGATCTCACCTCACGGTTTGTGTTTACCAGGCAGATACATTTACATTTAAAGTTAATTACTTTTTTACTTAAAAACAAACAAACATTTAAGCTTGTAATACAATGCAATGTAAAAGATTAAACCAGTTCCAACCTTTTTGGCTCCTGGGGCCCTTGTCACATGTCAAATGTCTATGAGTTGTTAGCAGTTCCACCAACAAGTCATTCGCCCTCTAAACTTATTAGTTAGTAGCAATTAAATAACAGTTTGAGGCCTAAAGAGGAAAATGATTCAATTCAAAAAGCAAAGATTTGATAATATATGTTCTATTTATCATCTCATAACCCCTCAGGTTTATCTTGAGGGCCCTTTGGAGGGCTGGGACTGAAATTCAGCCGGGAATGTGACACGAAAAGGCCTTTTGTAGAAGATTTCAACAAAAACGAATATCAGTCCAATCGTGTCCCGCTTCAATATTCAAAGTATGAGATTGTCCCTGTCTGACGGGCAGCGTTATGCTCTGTGGTGTCTGCAACTGTGAGGGCCAGGGTGGTCCATGCCACGGCCGAGGACAACTACTTCTGCAATTGAAAACTAAAATGGTTATGACCACCGGTCGATTTAGCCTGGGATGAATACACCGTTCAAGAGTCTCCTCGATCTTCCTGATGGCCAGTCCACTGTAGCTTGAAGTGCATTCAGCTGATAATACCTCTGTACTTTTACTTCTTTTTTTTTAATGCAGGACATTTACTAGTAATGGAGTACTTTTTTCTTAACTTTTGCAAGTCCAGTACTTCAAATAAAACTACTTTTTAATCTATATTTATGTTAATGTTTTTTTAATTGGTGCTGAAGAATGCAAGAGAGAGATAAAATGCACATTCCTGTTTATCTTGATATCCCTATGAACCACTGAGAACTGAATGAGAATAAGGACAGCACTTATTAGACACTGTGTGTACCATTCTGAGTTTCACCGACTGATACGATGATCAACAGCACCATCACATGGATGATTTTGACATGTCATGGCAAGGTCGTGGCTTCGGTGACAGTGTTGTTGTCTGACATTTACGACGTCTGCGTTTACGTCAGAGCGTGCTTAACATTCATGCGAGAGGTCTGAAACTGAAAAAGGAATGACAGCCATGTGTTTCACACAGTGTGTTTCACACAGTGTGCCACATGTAGACCTGTGTAGGTATGCAGGCAGTCAACGCACTCAGCAAACATAAATCAAACCAACAAATGCTCTCAGGGGAGACACGTGCACACAAACAATGTCAGCCCCACAGTTGTTTTAGGTTACATGTTTGTCCATACTAACAGGAGCACATGCAGGCAAGCTGATGAGCTGTCAATCTGCATGTGTTGCTCTACAGATATTTCATGTAAAAGACTAAGAATCTGAACATGCATGCAACTTCTGATATTTCACTTTTCTATGATTGATGCCACACACATATCTTGGTATTGAGGGTCAATATCCAGCGGGAGAAGTGAAAGTAGCACCTAAATATTAGCACTAGTCCCCACCAGATGTTCCTCATTTAATGTGGCTGTAGGAAGGAACCTTTTGTAGGAGTTAAAGGTGTGTTGTAGTCGAATCGCACTTTCACAAAGTTGGGAGAGTTGCAATAGACATAGACAAAAATTACTGAAAAGGACGCAGAGATAAACTGAATTTTTAGTCTCTAGTATACGGGTCAAGCACCAACAAACACTGGATCCTACATCCCCCATAATGCAGTTCAACTTCTTTCATTAGACTTCCCCTGTGTGGTTAATGCCCACATCTTTCAAACCCCGTGCTCCCAGTTTGTAAAGCAGGCTTCCTGTTATATAAATCATATATATATTTAGTTTCCAAAACCCAATCGGAGCTAACCCTGATGACATCATTAGGGTTATTTTACATTGAAAACATTACACACAATCACAGCAAAATCAAGTGAATGTATCTGTATACACAACTGGAAAGGAGGTCGGGGATAAGATTAGGCTCTTGCATAGAGAGATATGATTTCTGAAAGGAACACATAAGAAACAGATGAAACACACACACACGCACACACACACACACACCAGAGCTGACACGACTGTAACCCGTGTAACGACTGTAACGACTGTAACCTCAGAGGCAGTGTGGATATTGATGACTGATGAAAGAGACCTGTTAATCCTGGGTTGTAAATAATCGTGAGGCCCGCTGGCCCAGCTCAGTGATGACATGGTTTTACAGCCAGAAGGGGTTGTTTTGTCCTCTTTGATGTTGTCTTGTTGGTACACTCTAGTGAACCTGATATGTGTGATGTACGGCCACTGATATTCTCAGTCGATGTTAACACAAGATCGTTGTGAAGTGGTCCCTGTAAAGCTGTTTTTGAAATCCCTATAACATGATGAAATAAATTGAATCTATTAAAAACACTATGAATACAAAAGTACAGTACAAGAAAGTCATGAATTATCTCCATATTCACTTGAAAGGGAAATAATTCACTTTTTACTCCACTCCCTTAAATGGATATATTTAGTCACTCGTTACTTCTCTTTGAGTATCTCCTGGCCCGTCAGGACAACAGAAGTCAGGTCCCGTAGGTTCTGTAGTTTTTTTTGATTAACGGTCTGTTATATTTGCAGGTGGGTCAGCTCCTCTGGACTACAGTTCCCACATTCCTCAGACAGGATGTTTCTGTGGGCAGGAGGTAAAGCAACAGATGGAAGAAGTGAGAGCAGGTATTTAATACTGTCCAGAAAATCTTCTGAAGAAAATGTACGAGTGCTGAAAATAACAGATTAAAATGTTTGAAAAGTAGTTGACCTAAGATTGGAAGAGTAGATACTGTAATTGAAAGTATTTGGACTGCCATTTGAAGCGTGCTGTTAGAGACGGCAGTAGCTGAACTGTCATTTTAAGAGTAAGAAATGATGAAGCAGTTGAAATGTAAATGACTTGACAGCAATTTCAGTTGAAGTTGAAGCCAGAGTTTAAGTAACTGAAGTGCCAGTTGATGTGCAAGCAGTGGCAACAGTTAAAGGGTAAGAGATGGACTCACTTAAGTGTAGTGACGAAAGCAGATGAAGACAATAATAAAGTGTGAGCACTGAAAACAGTGAAAGTGACACTAAATTCAAGAGCTGAGGCAGGACAGTGTTTAATTAATTTCACACCTTGAGGGAAAAAACACACACGAGAAACACGAGTAATAAAAGTCTTTAATCTAAAATGATCTGATTCAAATGCAGAAAAGTTGATACATTTGGCACATGAATAGAAAATTAAATGATGAGTAAACTATTGATTGAAAGGTGTAACAAAAACAGAAGTAAGCCAGTCTACAAAAATTGGTTTTCAGAATTGACTTTAAAGACGAAAAAAAGGATTTGCTTATCTGATCTCATGATGGATATTCCGAGGCCCAGGAGATATGATCACATCCAGGATCATCTTAGGAACATCGAGCAGGGTTATATATCCGAGGATCTAATGTAGCATACTGGCTCATGAGGAGAAAAAGGTTCTAAAAAGTATAAATGCAGACACGTACCTGCGTTTAAAGATTGTAAAGTCACAGGTCGTCAATGCAGGAATCCCCATCGCTATTGCATTGCGATGCCAAGTGCCTCACATGTTTTAAAACAAAACTTAAGCTGACTTTAATTCAAGCCATGCAGACTGGGGTGATATCACTCCCCCATGAGTCTTTTATATAGTGCTTTAAAATAAATGAATCTAATATTTAAAAAGGGAAAGGCCACAGGTCTCAGCACACAGTTCCCTACTTAGTGGACCCTACAAACGAGTTGGCGGTGTCAGGACTGAACGCCTAGAGATGTGTCCAATGTTGTCTGGAAAAGGAAAAAAATAAAAAAATACATTTCAAACTGTCGAGGTGCATCTTTAAAGTTGACCTCTTTTTCAGATCCGTCAACCAGAAAATCCAATATGACGTCCTGGACAAGAAGAAGACAGTGACCGCTCTGAGGGCAGGGGAGGACAGAGCCATACTGCTGGGCCTCGGCATGGTTGTCTTGTCCATCATGATGTACTTTGTCCTGGGAATCCCCATCCTGCGCTCTTACTCTGACCGGTAATAACAAGTCACAAGCTCAAGTTCGGAAAACATAAACGCACGTTGTTGTTTTTTGTGTGTGACCTCGCTGTAGTTCATGTGTATTTTCTCACTCTTTGACTATCTAACCACCAGAACCGTTGACAGTGTGTTTGCAGCTCACATTGGAAACCATTGCTCTTTCTCTACAGTGTGTGGACGGACGAGACCAGCTGCACCGTCGTGAACTCCACCATCGTGTGTGATGTAAACTGTTCGTACAGCTGTGGAACGGAGTGCCGGAGGAGTTCCCGTTACCCCTGTCTCCAGGTGTTCGTGAGCCTCAACTCCTCAGGGAAGGTGGTGCAACTGTTGCACAACGAGGAGACGCATGACAGCAATCCTGAGGTCTGGACTGCGAAGGGCCAAAACACTTATGTAAACTTAATGACCGCTGAACTACCGCAAGATGTACAAGCTCTATACAAGTAAACAATGTTCATTTTTCTCTTTTTTTTTATTCTTCCCTTCAGTGCTTCTACATCCCAAAGTGCCGTAAGGACTACACGGCCACGCACATTGTGGTTCAGAACATTTCGGAGCATCTCAGGTCTCAGCACAAGGTCCAGTGTTTCGTGGACCCCACGGACAGAACGGACAGCGCCATCCTGACACAGATCTACGGTCAGGTGGCCGTCTTCCACTCCCTGTTCTGGCCAACCTGCACCTTGATTGGAGGAACCATCATCATCGCCATGGTGAAGCTGACCCAGTACCTGTCCATCATGTGCGAGGGAGTAAGCCGCATTAAGAGGTGAAGGGGAAGGAAGGCCATTAGTTCAAAAGGAAGCTCCCCGATATACGGACATGGGGACAACTGAAGCAGCTTCAAAGGGGCCGAGACTGAAGGACACAGAGGGAAAGCCCTGTAGAGACGAGTGGTCGGTCTGTGACAGCTGGAATGTTGGGATTCAAAGACGCGTATCAGAGACAATCTAAAAGCTGCTAGAAAGATGAGCATATATTTTTGAGACCTGCTGCTGGTGGAAGTCAGTCACGCATTTTGAAACTATAATTTCCACTATTCTTGTTGGCCAATCAGTAGTTTTGAAGAATTTGTACAAATGTGACGTAATGTTTTTTAACAATTCTGCGTTATGTAGCTTTTCAACACTGGTTGTTCAAGGAATAGTTCGACATAAAAACACACTTCTGTGCTTTCTTGCCGAGAGATGAGAAGATTGACATCACTCTTGTATTCGTCCATCAAATATGAAGCTGCAGCTGATTGGCTTTGCACAAATACCGGAAGGGTGGAGGTCAAACAACAAACTCTGTGCAAAGGCAACAAAATCTGCCTTAGCAACAACCCTTAAGCTCACTAATTAACACGCTATATCTTGTTTGTTTGACACAGGCTAGCTGTTTATCCCCCTGCTAGTAATCTACAGCATGTGTTAACCTGGGCTAACAGCCTGCTGGCTGTGGCTTCATATTTAGCATAGAGACACACGAGTGGTTTCAATCTTCTCACGTAACTCTCGGTAAGCAAGCGAATGGGCGGTATTTCCCAAAATGTCGAAGTATTTCTTTAAAGTCAGATCTTAAACTGCAACTTCCAGAAAGTGCTCTTCGGGCTATCTGATGTAGGCCTGCCTGTTTACCAACCACTGCTGTGGTGTTAGAAAGTGCGAATACTGAGTGCACAAAGTGCACACAATACCAAAGAGACCAATTTTATGCTTCACTCCACTGTTTGCTCACTTACCACATTCAGTAATGTCTTTGATTCGCTCCTCTCAGGCTAAAGACCAGAGGATAGGTTAGTGGCAGCCGTTCAGATACAGTGTTGTGCATATAGTGCGTCGAGCAGTGCAATTAAGGAAATGGCCTCTGAAAAGGAAAACCACTGAAGCCTATTTTCTACTATATTCATCAGGCTGAACAATGTTTACTCATAGCTTCATCCACTACACCAGTGCTGCCTGTGACTGATTTTAAATGTTCTATCCAAACATGTTTTGTTACACAAATGATGCACTATTAATAAACACCATGTGCCTGTTACCTCTTGATAATGAAGTTTGACACTTTAAATAGCTTCAACTATAACTGTTTCACGATGACTGACATCATTGACACGCCCTGTGTTGACTGGGTGGTAAATATCTAATGGGCCCATTTTTCATCCGACCGCACCTGTACGATCAGTCTAATAACTGATGTGGACCGACTGATCCGATGTTGTGATCAAAGGTGTTACAGAGACAGGACAACCTGCTATGGTTGTTGTTGTTGCCTTGCTCTTAGAAATTAAGTATTATTTGGAGTACAATATATCTGGAGGAACTGTATTAAGCCACATAATATCTGGTTCAATTAATAAAGCATGCAAAAACATACAGTACACTGCCATTTAAAAGTTTGGAATCACTCAGAAAGAAGAAAACTCGTCCTTTTACTCATCAAAAAAGTTGGAAAATGAAAATACATATTGAAGATATTTGCAAGGTTAGAAATGGATTCCAGCTTGGATTAAGATTTTTGTTTGTTAAACTTTGCTTATATTAAGGCTTTTTTTGTAATTTAGATAAAGAAACATCTCATTTCTTCTTTAACTGTGATCATTCCAATATACTTTGGACAGATACGCAAAAATGTATTTATAAATAGGAAGATGTGTACTAATGTACAGATGTATTTGCTGTTGTTCTATATTTTGTCTTATACAGCAATATATTATTCAGCCTCTGATCATTCTTGGTACAATTCTACAACGCTGCTTTACTTGAAGTCTTTGGCGCCCCCCTCTGGCTCACCGAGGCTGTATGCCAATGAGTTTCGAATCAATGAATTCATCCCTACATTTTATTGACCCCAGCCACATCCAACGGTGCAAGATCTGAGATTAGGAGCATTTTGATTGGTTCTCAACAGCTCTCAACATGGCGACAAATACAGCTAACAGTGCTGACGATGCAAACTATGGCGAAAGGGCTGACGGAGCTAACGGTGTCTACCTGGAGGGTAAATGGAGGATGGGCGCTACGCATATAAGAAGGGACCTAAAAGTGCAGCACGGTCACGTTCACCAACATGCACTAAAAGCACATGTGGCCGGCCTGCTTGTAGCAAATAGAAGCTGGGATATCAACACACACAGAGGGAGGGCAACTTCATTCCCTGCTCAGGTAGACATTACTTATTAGTTGTTTGCTAATGTTCAGAACATTAAGCACAGCTCATAAAAGCCCCACGAGTGGCCCAATCTTATTGTACTTGAATCTCAAGAAGTCATTCTGGCTAATTGGACGCAACTAACTAGAATTCAGAGAGTGTCAAGTTGCCTCTGGCTGTCAAACTTCTTATGTCTCAATTTAGTGTAGTATAGTATGTCGAATAAGTCATAAAAAGTAATTGTATAGTCAGTCGAAAAAAAAGTATAATATGTCAAAACAAATCATAAAAGTCCCTGTATAGTTTGTCAAAACAGCAATTGTATAGTATGTGATGAAAAGTCACGGCATCTAGTGGTGAGGTTGTAGATTACATCCAACTGAATACCACTCTACTCACCCCTCTGTTTCCAAGCGTGTCGGAGAACTACGGTGGCCTTCAGGTAAAATAAAAATCTGAACGGCCCTCTCTAGAGCCAGTGTTTGGTTTGTCCGTTCTGGGCTACTGTAGAAAAATGGCTGTGGAACATGGTGCACACCGTGAAGAGGAAGTTTACAAAAACACAATGATTCTTTGTTTCAGGGTATTATACACAAACAAAATATTGATTAATATTATATTACATTGCTGCCAATAAATCCGCCTAAATCCTGCACACTGTCCCTTTAAATTAACATTATGCGATAGCCACTGATCAAAACTGTGTCACAAAGCAGACTGTCAGTTAAGGTCACGTCTGAGTGTGTATATGTGTGTGTGTGTGTGTGTGTGTGTGTGTGTGTGTGTGTGTGTGTGT